TTTTTATTTATTTTTATTTATTTTTATTTATTTTTATCTATTTTTATCTATTTTTATTTATTACTATTTATTTTTATTTATTTTTATTTATTTTTATTTATTTTTATTTATTTTTATTTATTTTTATTTATTTTTATTTATTTTTATTTATTTTTATTTATTTTTATTTATTTTTATTTATTTTTATTTATTTTTATTTATTTTTATTTATTTTTATTTATTTTTATTTATTTTTATTTATTTTTATTTATTTTTATTTATTTTTATTTATTTTTATTTATTTTTATTATTTTTATTTATTTTTATTTATTTTTATTTATTTTTATTTATTTTTATTTATTTATTTTTATTTATTTTTATTTATTTTTATTTATTTTTATTTATTTTTATTTATTTTTATTTATTTTTATTATTTTTATTTATTTTTATTTATTTTTATTTATTTTTATTTATTTTTATTTATTTTTATTTATTTTTATTTATTTTTATTTATTTTTATTTATTTTTATTTATTTTTATTATTTTTATTTATTTTTATTTATTTTTATTTATTTTTATTATTTTTATTTATTTTTATTTATTTTTATTATTATTTTTATTTATTTTTATTTATTTTTATTTATTTTTTATTTATTTTTATTTATTTTTATTTATTTTTATTTATTTTTATTTATTTTTATTTATTTTTATTTATTTTTATTTATTTTTATTTATTTTTATTTATTTTTATTTATTTTTATTTATTTTTATTTATTTTTTTTTATTTTTATTTATTTTTATTTTTTTTTATTTATTTTTATTTATTTTTATTTATTTTTATTTATTTTTATTTTTTTTTTATTTATTTTTATTTATTTTTATTTATTTTTATTTATTTTTATTTATTTTTATTTATTTTTATTTATTTTTATTTATTTTTATTTATTTTTATTTATTTTTATTTATTTTTATTTATTTTTATTTATTTTTATTTATTTTTATTTATTTTTATTTATTTTTATTTATTTTTATTTATTTTTATTTATTTTTATTTATTTTTATTTATTTTTATTTATTTTTATTTATTTTTATTTATTTTTATTTATTTCTATTTAATTTTATTTATTTTTATTTATTTTTATTTATTTTTTATTTATTTTTATTTATTTTTATTTATTTTTATTTATTTTTATTTATTTTTATTTATTTTTATTTATTTTTATCTATTTTTATCTATTTTTATTATTTTATTTATTTTTATTTATTTTATTTATTTTTATTTATTTTTATTTATTTTTATTTATTTTTATTTATTTTTTATTATTTTTATTTATTTTTATTTATTTTTATTTATTTTTATTTATTTTATTTATTTTTATTTATTTTTATTTATTTTTATTTATTTTTATTTATTTTTATTTATTTTTATTTATTTTTATTTATTTTTATTTATTTTTATTTATTTTTATTTATTTTTATTTATTTTTATTTATTTTTATTTATTTTTATTTATTTTTATTTATTTTTATTTATTTTTATTTATTTTTATTTATTTATTTTTATTTATTTTTATTTATTTTTATTTATTTTTATTTATTTTTATTTATTTTTATTTATTTTTATTTATTTATTTTTATTTATTTTTATTTATTTTTATTTATTTTTATTTATTTTTACTATACTTATTTTCCCCCATTTCCTTATTTCCCCATTCCTCCATTTCCCCATTTCCCCATTCCCCCATTCCTTCATTCCCCCCATTTCCCTAATCCCCCATTCACCCATTCCCTCATTCACCCATCCACACATTCTCCCATCCACACATTCCCCCATTCCCCCATTCCCCCATTCCCCCATTCCCCCATTCCCCCATTCCCCCATTCCCCCATTCCCCCATTCCCCCATTCCCCCATTCCCCCATTCCCCCATTCCCCCATTCCCCCATTCCCCCATTCCCCCATTTCCCATTCTCACATTCCCCAATTCGCCCCATTTCCCCATTTCTCACCTTTTCCACCTTAAAATATGAAAATCCAAAACCCTAAAAACACTTTTTTATTATTATTTATTTGTGATGAGTATATATAATTCCAATTTTCAAGTTCCTGCCTTTAAAAAAATCGATACTTCCATACAAATTGATTTTTTATTTTATAATAAAACTCAAACATTGAGACTGTCAAAAAACAAAATACCCTTTCGCTTTAGATTTAATTTGAACTGTCAAAACTGCATTTTAAAATTCAGAAAGTATAATTAAAAAAATCAAATTTCTACTGCTAATTTCAAAATGTGTTTGCCAAATTTTGTAATTTTTTATTCGGTATAATTGTTGAATTTTTAATTTTTTAATTTGAACAAAATAGGCACAAATTGTAGTAATGTGTTAGACAACGTTTATTTTATTAAAATAATGTGTTTGTCTTTAACTTTGAATAAAGGTCTTTAATTATCGCACGCCCACTGTCAGAGCGAAAATGCTGTCCACCATCATATGGAAGGGCCAACTCGTTTACTATTACCACAGAATACTTACTATTAACAGAAGCAAAGGCTTGTGTCGGCACTTGATGTCGGGGTGGTGAAAATTTAAAGTGACACTCGGTGACAGTTGACGGTTTTGTCGGTTGTTAAACTGGTAAAAATAAACAACATTCGAAATTCGGATAATACACTGAGAAAAGGATGTAAATATCTGAAACAAACTAATTTAGCAACATCCACTATTTCTTCTCTGATTTGAAGGTTAGTGATATAATTAGGAAAATAAAGCTCAATATAAATCACAATAATTATTTATTTGTTGTATTTATGTAAATTGTACTGATTGCTAAACTAAAAATGGTTTTTATTTGAGGAACCAGATCGAATACTTAGTGTACGTTTCTGGAAAACACCTTCAACTATGATAGTTGGAACAAAAAATACATTAAATTGATAACTGATATTTAGAATGGATATATGCTTTCCTATTGTAATTTTGAAAGTTCTTTGTGCATTTAAGCTACGTTTACATCTAACATTTATTGCATGAGATTTATGTCTGACAGTTGTTTAGTCCAGTGTAAACACTAAAAAATATATGTCCGAGAAAAATTTGTGTGTGTTTGAACTGGACTAAACAACTGTCAGACATAAGTCTTATGTAAACGTACCATTGATCAATAATACCGAATTATAACCATAAACAATCCTTTTAACAAGACTCTTCCAATACTCTCTCACAATAATTTGACAACTACGTGGATAAACCGTGATTGTTTGCAATTAGATTTTTGTAACAAAATTAGTCTAGTAGTTGTTTGTCGTTGGCATCACAAGTTGGCGTGACGATTTATTATACTATTATACACTAGCACTAACGTTCACTGCACTAGCTCAAAAGACTTCTTCCTTTTGAGTCTTGTGTTGAGTGCAGAGTTGTCCAGTAATTGCATCACTTCTTCATTGACGTGGGAGTGGAGTCGACCCTCATGTTTTGCAGTAATCTGTTTATTTCTTTTTTGACTCTTGTAATCTTCATGTATGTATGAAGATAATCGTTTAGATAGATCCAAGGTGCATCAACGATGCATCTTAGGACTTTATTTTGAAAAACTTGTATCATGGAAATATTACTCTTGCTGGTACATCCTTATATCTGTATGCCATAAATCCAGACTGGATTTAGGATCTGTTTATTAATCATCAATTTGTTGTACACTTTTGTGCATTTTTAGATGCATAATTATAAGAACTTTGAATTAAATTTGGAGAAAAGTACTGTAGGAAAAAGGTTGTTATAAATAAAACACATACTCATACTAACTATTAATTTTAATTAATCCAAATTATGAAAAAAAGAACGTATTACAAAAATCAAATTAATTAAAATAATAATGTGAAAAACACACAAAAGGCACATAATTTTAGACAAAGGAATGGACCCTATGTCCTAAAAAATACAAAGTAAGCGCAAACTGCTTGTATTCATTGGAAGAATATCTTCTAGCTAAAGGCTTTTTGTTATAAAGTTCCGCTTGAGCTTTAATTATATCTGTAAGTGGTTGGTTTAAAAATTGTGACACAACCGAAGGAGATATTTTTGGAATTGGCACATGCATTATCGAAGTAGAAGCAACAATATCTCTTTCATCTTCAAAGTTAGTCATTTAGCTGGGACCTACAAAAAATATTTAAATTAAAAAAATACATAAACACAACTCTTATGATATTTTTAATACCTAATAGACAGAAAAAAATCGTTGGAGGTAGCAACTCCAATCTCTCAAAGTTATCTGGTGTTTTGCTGGGACCTAAAAATATTTAAATTTACAAAATACATAAAAACAACTTTTATGTTTAATGCATGGTGTACTGAGAAAATCCTCGTGGGATTTAGTAGTAGATGTTGACGACACAGATTCATTTTGAACGATCAATGTTTTCATTTGTTGCAAGTGTTTGCCAGAATATTGTCTTCTTAGATTATGAAACTGATAAATAATATAAAGTAACATAGTGGTGGTAAATTTGCCTATCTGGATCAAAACTTATATAAGTTTAATTTAGTTCTTCTCATTTAAATTACATAATTTATTTTCATACCTTTCTGGGAAATGAAAAATAACTAGTATTCGAATCCGTTAGAGATGGACATAGGTGACAAGCACATCTCATTCTTTTAGATTCCATTAGTTCACTAAAAAATTATTTTGGTTCAATAAAATAAATAAAAATAGCTCGGCACATACCACATAAAAAGTGTTCGATTAAAAACAGGTTTACTAAACAATGTTCAAAAAATAGACAAAGGAAAGAAAACATTAAACACAGATTTTCTCAATAATTGTTGAAAAATATATAAAGGAAAACATTAAAACACACTAAATTCGATAAAAAATCACAAATTGCAAATGACTAATATAGTCGCATATGACATGACAGCTTTGTCGGTTATAAAAAGGCGGGCCTGGTCAAGCGCAAAAATTTTTGGACACTAAAAATTAGTTAGCCTTCGCTTCTGTAATAGTAGGTATTCTGTGATATTAGATGTTACTTTAAAATAAGGCTCCTTCGGGGTTTTATATTCAAAGACTAAAGTCATGTCATATATATCATAACCTAACAAAATCATCGATATTTATATTTTAATAATAGTGTGTGCTGTGTAGTGTGTAGGTATTTACTACGTATTTGTTTTTTTGGTTTGTTTATTTACGTAAATACCTAGTGGTTATTGTTAAAAACTAAAAAGAGACTAATATTTTAAACTCCGAGATTAGACAAATTTGGACGTAAGTGCTGTTCGAAACTAATTTATTTATCAAAAACTTTCAACGCAATAAATCACTTGAAATTGAATGGAAATAACCATTTGTAGTGGAGAACTATTTCTTAAAGTCTAAAATAATTTTGTGATTTGGTGGTCTTTTTTGTCTGTCAGTGTTTTCGAGATTTTAATATAAAATCGGGTAAAATATTAAAAAAAACTAACAATCAAACAATAATAAGAAGTTACCAATAAAAAGTCAATATCCATTAAAAAATAAATTAATAAATAATACAAACAACTAAAAAAAAAACAATAAAATTAATTCAGACTTGCGAGTATCCATGTGTGTGTTGGTTAGATAAAAAGGTAGAACATAAAGAAGGTCTTTTAAATCTCACAATGAGATGTATTTTTTAAACTGAATCCGAAGTGTATCATTTCAACTTCGGGGTAAGAGAAAAAGAAATTGCTGAATTTCTATTAGTAGCAAGATGTTATCAAATTCATCTGTGTAATGTGGGACCAGCAAAACTCTCATATTTTTTAAAAATTATTGTTTTTATCTTGGGACGTTTTATCTTTTGAATAATTATTTTAACCCTGACTATAGTCTAGAGAAGTGCAGTAATTTAATTTGCAGAACGTAGTACAGACATTTTATTTATACCTCATCCTCCAATGCCTATTTGTGGTAAAAATGAAAATTTTTATACATCTGATCGGCCTAATAACAGTTTTCGTTTACATTTAATCATGTTTCCATGGTTTTTACTGTATTAAACCTTTTATTTGGACATATAAGTCAGACTTTATTTATTCATAGCTGGGTTGGAGTTCGGCTCTAGGGGCTAGGGCAGTTCGGATCGAGGTACTCAGACCAAAATTGGGATATAGATGTATTATCCCAAAAATTTGAAAATCGAATAAAATAATTTGGCTCAACCCTCCTCCTAGCTGATATGGAGGGGGTAACACCCTCAAAAAAAGTCACAATTTTTGCAGTAAAATAGTTGTAACGTTCGTCTGTCGCGTCTGTCCGATGTCACGTTTTTTGTCCTCATTAAAAATTAAAATTGATATCACTTTGAACATTTCAGCAAAAATCAACCTCTATAAGGGGACGAGGCATAATGCTTTTGAAAAAAATCTTAATAAAAATAGGGAGTTAAGGGGATAGAAATAAAAAAAATCAAAAATCAAAAACAAAAAGCGATATCGATAATTTAATTTTTAGTAAAAATCAAGCTCTATAAAAATCTGAAATAAAATTGGTGGGGGAAGGGGTTGAGAGGGGTTGATATATTAAAAAAAAATTAAAATGAAAAGTGATATCAACATGAAATTATTAGCAAAAATCAAACTCAATAAGGCAATGAAGCCTATTGTTTCTAAAAAAAAAAAATAAAAAAAAATGGGAGATTAAGGGGGGTTAAAACAATAAAAAAATTCCCAACTCAAAAACGAAAAACTTAAAATTTTTAGCTGTATAAGAGGAAGAAGCGCTTTGATTTTTAAAAAATCTGATTAAAAATGTGGGGGTTGAGGGTTGAAATTAAAAAAAACTAACTCCAGAACAAAAAAATGATATCGACTTGAAATCTTTAGAAAAAATGAAGATCTATAAGGGAAAGAAGCTTATTGATTTAAAAAATCTAAATAAACATGCGTGTTAAGGCGGGGTTGAAATATTTAAAAAAATCAACTTGAAAACAAAAAATATTAACTTCAATTTTTTTTGCAAAAATCAAGCTCTATACGAGAAAGAAGCCCTTTGATTTTGAATCTGAATAAGAATGTGGGGGTTAAGGTTAAAAAATGTTAACATGAAATTTTTAGTAAAACTCATGCTCTATAAGGTTATAAAAAAATCTGATTAAAAATGTAAAAAATGTAAAAAATTGTAAATCAAAAACGAAAAGCGATATCAAAATGAAATTTTTAGTAAAAATCAAAATTTATAAAAAGATGAAGTCTATTAATTTAAAAAAAAATTCAATTAACATGAGGGGTTCAGGGAAATTGAAATATTAAAAAAATCGTAACTGAAAAACAAAAGAGATCAACTTGAAATTTTTAGCAAAAATCGAACTCTCTAAGGAGACAAAGTTTATTGGTTTAAAATAATTGTGAACACAATGGGAAGTCAAGGGGGTTTATATAAAAAAAAATGAAACACCATAAGCGACATCAACATAAAATTTTTAGTAAAAAATCAGCCCTAAAAGGAAATGAAGCTTATTGATTTAAAAAAAATCTGAAGAAAAATTGGGGACAAGGGGGTTGAAAAAAATCCTAACTCAGTAACAAAAAATGATATTAATTTAAAATTTTTAGCAAAAAACATACTTTATAAAAAAGACCTTTAATTAAAAATGGGGGGGAGGAGGATGTTAAAATTTAAAAATCATAAATCCAAAATGAAAAGCGATATCAAGCTCTACAAGAAAAAAAAAATCTGAGCAAAAATGGAGGCATGAGGGGGGTTGAAATATTGAAAATATCCTAACTCAGAAACAAAAAGCGATATTAAATTTAAATATTGAGGAAAAGTCAGATTATATAAGGGGATAAAGCCTATTAATTCTGAAAAAATCTGAATAAAAATGTGGGGTTAAGGGGGTTAAAATAATTTAAAAAATTTAAACACACATTTATACATACTCAACGAGTGGACATAAGGCCAGTTCCGGATTGCTGGTATTCACTATTCAATTTCTTACTCATACATGTTGTTAATTTAAAATATTTTATAAATATACATTTTGTAGAAGACATTTCATCTCTTATTAAATTAAATAAAATGTCTACAATATTCTAGGTATATTGGAATGCATTCGGTTTTATATTTATATTTCAAACAGTACTGCTGGTCAAAGAGGCACTATCGAATTGTATCTGGCACATGGCCTTTATCCAGCAGTCAGTATTAATGGTAAAAGGCCTGCAATTTTCCGTTAACTTCCCATCAATAGGCCACTAATTGCAAATATATTTATTTCAACACATTAAAGTGAAAATGGAGGCCTATTAACTGGAGTTGATGGCTAAGCCCGCTTAACAAATTTTTAAAACCTTTACATTATTTTTCGTTGCTTGCTATAACTTTTTACGTATACATTTTGAAAATATTACTGAAATGAAACTCCTATCGACAACTTTTTTAACATTCTCGTGCTGCTACTATACATTAAACCATTAATTGCCTAAACCAACCCTGGCATTCAAAACGCATGTTCAGAAGAAAGACATATTTAGTAAGATTGCTTGAAAATAATTAAAATTGGCAACACCTATGCCATACCCATTTAAAGTCCAAGGTCATAGAAATTTCATTTCAAAATCCTTTTTTGCCGGGTTTCGCATCTATTGTGGTTAATCTGTGATTTGGCTCTTTCCTTAAGGGAATGGCGCATGACGTATGACTTGGAATAAAAATTGACCTGTTTTCGATTTTTTTTAATCACTTCAAGATATTCCGAAATAGAGCCGCTAATGTAATGGTAATATATTAAGATTATATTTTGAAGTGAGGGACATTATTTTTTGTGCTTTTTAGGTTTATTCTGGAACAGTGGTAATAGGTACTGTTTATTTTTAAACTGGATTATCTTGTCTTTACACAAATTTGACTGTTTATTTTTAATTAACTAAAAAAATTTAAAATATTTTTGTTCTTGCAAAAAAAAATAACCAACGATAATTTTCCCGCGTTGGATTTCTAAAGACTCATCAACCCAGAAAAAATATGCAAATCGATAGCTACCTTCATTGAGGCTTAATCAACATCCCATTTTCTCTAAAACATCCCTCTAGTTATCACGAAAATCGGCAGGGAAAGTAAGAAAGTAGGTCGTGTACACGCGCTTTGACTTTGCCGACTTTTGACAGATTGGACTGTCGGACCTTCAAACAACTTTGGCTCTAAGTTGTAAGTGGATTTCGCAGGACGTGACGAATTTCGCTTGTGTATTAGTTGGCACCCTCTGGCGTGTTTCCTGAATTTGCCGTAGCGTTAATTCGGCGCGTTTATTTGAAACTCAATTATTGTTGAATATTGAAAAGTGAAAATGTAAATATAAAAGGAAATTAATCATATTCTAGATAAATGAATATAAGTTCGGAGACATAAAATTGTCTGATTTAAAGGAAGACGAAAAAGTTCTACTTTTTTAGTAAAAACGACTTAGCAGAAGAGGAATTTTCTTCTGAACTATTAATTGTCATTAGATTGTCAATCGATATAGATTACTGTATAAACTGCCTACATCATTTTGTAGAACACACGTTTGGTCGCTAAACTAACCAAGAAAAAAGTAGGAACCTAGCAGCATCTAGATTAGAAGAAAAGTATCATTCTATTAAGAAACCAACTTACTGACCAACAGAGCCGGATAAAATTTTAGACCTGCTAGATACGAACTATAATAAATTGGAAAAAGATTTTGATCTTACATCTTGATATTCCTCCATAGTCAAAATACAGTAAAATAAGAATGTAACCCAACATTAGTAAACAAAACAACAAACTGAAATACCTTAAAAAGAACTACATAATAGAAAAGAACTTGAATGTTCCATTGAGAATAATAATAACTTCAAATTTGTAGTAGATATACAGCATCAGCCAGGAATCACACAACATAGACCGAAAGAAAACAGTTGAAACTAATTATTCAAAAAATATCTGTAAGTTAATTAGAGAAAAAAAAGCAATAAAGAAATGGCAGTCATCAAGGAACACTAATGCAAAACCATGTCTAATAGATACACGTAACATCTAAAGAAGGAAATAAACAAATAAACAGTTAGCTCATAACTAAAAGAACTCGTAAAAGGAATACTAAATACTTAATCTGGAAAGCAAAAAGAAAATTTTATCAATCACCCAAATTCCACGAACTAGAAAATAATAAAGAGAGTGGAAAATAATAAGCAAAAAGCAATCTTAGTAGAAACCGAACCGCCAAGAAAAAAGATATCAGATTGGTAAAAGATCTACCAAGGAAAAGCATTGTCAAACTC